ACGTCAAGGCTGGTCCGCCGTCCACGTGACACATAAGCCACAAAACACTCTTTCATCTGCTACTTTGACGTTAAACATATGATTATTTAAGGGTATTTAACTTTCATGTTGCCTCAACTGCTACGTTGGCAATCCTGGCCGCGCATGCGCATGAAATGCTCATTTTCTTAAGTTAAGTTAGCTTAAATCGTGCATGAACCCACCATAAGACTGTCCTGTCGTCTATTCGTCTAAACATAACCAAAACCACGGTACACGTAACACCGGTATGCCATTGCGCATGCTAGCGCTATCTCTCTCACTGCGTGACGTCACGTGCGAAGCAATGCTTCTGTTTGAATAGTACGGACGTCTGCATTAGCCCGTTAATATTAAATGTAAGCATAGATTTACTTACTGTTTTGTACCATATATAATGTATATGTGTATATTAATATACGACTGTAACAATATGCTTTTGTAATTAATATTTCAAGCATAGTTATAGAAATTATATTTGTGAAAATTTATTGAACAAATAAGTACATTATAAAAACTTATTTCCTAAAATTAACAAACTTGGACATTTTTTTTCGAGTGTCCTTTGACAGTTATTGAAACTAATTTTCCTGTTCATGTCTCTTAATCTTATATATGTACGTGTCCTACTGAGACATAGGAGCACTTCGAATGGTATTGAGGTATTCTTAAGCTGATTTAAAGTATTCTGGGCAAGCTTATGAAAAATTTGATTTTCCTTGGATAAAGAGCTTCCATGCATTGTGTAAAACACTGATTCCAGTTTCAGTGTAGCTTCATACAATTCGTCGTTAGGATACAGCAGAGAGCCTCTAGAGATTGTCTGAAGCCAATCTGGTTCTATATTTCTCTCAAAGGTGTTTGTAGGATTCCCTAAATTATATTTATGCTTGAATTTATATGCAACAAAACCAGCAACATACTTTAAAGAATCATGGTGAATTTTCTCTTTCACTTCATAATTGTCTACAAGTTTTAACATGTCTTCATCAATCACATGATCCTCCAAGTAAAGAGCTTCTACAAATGTGTTTTGAATTATTTGTTCCTCTTCACACTGAGGTCCTTTCGAACATCCAACTTCTTCTACCAAATTAGAAAGCATTTTTTGTGTCAAGCAAATATCTTCTGATGTTGACATATCGCTTGGCAATGAAGAACTTTCTATCATATTAGTTAAGCAAGATTCATTGCTTTCAATGGTATTGCGACATTCTGTGAAGATCGCTGACGAATTCTTTCCTAAAATGTACCACCGTAATCTATATTTGAAATCTAGTGGCGAAGGATGATCATTTGCGCCGCCCATTCCTCTAATGTAAGAAAAGAAGTTCTCAAGTACATCTTGATTCAGCCGAGAAGTTAAAATATACTCTACATTAAATTTTTCACGTAGGTAAGGAAGTAGCTCTATCAGAGATCTATTAGAGAGTAATATACCTTTTTGAAACGGAATAAGCCCTTTATGTTTACCTATCCGCATTGAACTAACTACTTCTGACATTTCATCTAGCAGACGTATCTGCTTATCTAAATCTGTGCCATATGCATTTCGTGTTGGACAATTTTCAACAAACTTAGATCGACAATTAAATAAGTCAAACCAATCATTGAATAGTTGAACAACTACAGCAGCTTCTTTCCAATAACTGTCTTTTGGCATGAGTCCATTTTCTCCAGCATAACTGATTGCTTTTGCTACAGAGTTTGATAATAATTGTACTGCAGGTCTCACTTTTTGTCTCATAGAGCCTTTTAAGCAGAGATGGTGTGGTGTCAATTTGTGCGCAATTGTTAACTCTGAAGTTGAAATATTTAGCGCGCTTCAAAGTAATCTTTATTGATTACTTTGTTATCGATAATAAAACCGTGATCAATTAAATGATTTCGAGTAAGTTTTAGCAGATGTGGAGGATCTGCGAAAACAAAAATCTTTAAAGAGTTATCACAAGGGTGATTAAAAAAACAATTTTGATGTCCAACACCCAGCTGAGACCACAGTCCAGTATTTCCAGTGCCCATGTCACTAGTAATCGCTACTACGATAAAATTTGCTCGGAACAGTTCAGCTACTATTTTTTCAATAATATATTTCATCATCGACTGATCAAATTCATAGTAAATTGGTTACTTCCATTTTGAAAGTAAACCACGCACCATAACAGTTTGACAACATCTGTGAGGTCCGATGATCTGTTCAGTTTTCTTATCGATCTCGATTTTGTTCGAAACATACATTTCGTCAAAGCTTAGTACGCAAATTCTATCAGCTTCAGTACAATCAAGAGACTTCTTTTGCATTAATGTTATTACACTCTTCAAAATACCCTGATGTACGTCAAAGCTGGAAACCCAGCTTCTTAAGGTGGACAAAGCTGGTAAAGGATAATTGTTTACTCTCAAATAACGATATGCTTTTGGACTGACACTACGTAAAGAAATTGCGGTTGCAATATCCTCTGGTGACCAACGGACTCTTTTTTTTCCTGCATTCAATAATTTTTTTATCTGCCCCGGAGTGAAAACTTTGGCTAAGACATCTTTATATTTTAAGGCTGTTTTTTCTTCTATTTTTTCAACCTGCTCAGTGAGTGCTTTATTCTGCTTTTCCAGAACCACTATTCTCTCCTTCAACGTTTTTATCTGTATGTCACTTGCTCTGTAATAAACAAGTTATTAGATTAATAGAATATTCTCTATTTTGTCAAAAGTGTCTTCCTTTGTTAATTAGGTAATAAAAATCTTGTGAAATATGTTTTCCGATAGAAGTTGTTCGATTTTTGTTAGAAAAAAAAGAATAATTTTTTCACTTTTGAATTAGGCGCTAAAACGTCACTGTCCTATGATTGTTGCATGCGTGATTTGGGAGCCATTCACTGGTTAACATATTCAGTACTAGAAGTAAACTTACTTTTCAATACCTGCTGTAGCCAACGTTGTAGTCTCAGTTCTGATATCATTGGTACTTTTTTGCTGTGTTAGATTCAAAATGATCGAAGTACTTGCTTTTAGCATATCTTCTACATTTTTATGTTGTGTTCTCTTTTTCAGTCGTGCTGATCTGTCTCCTTGATTTTGTGAGCAGGAATCATGACATCCTGGTAGTCGTAAAGTAGGCACAGCATCAGGTTTCAAATATCGGCTATTTTTGGGGGTGTATTTTAGCAATTTTTGTCGCAATGGAATTTCAAAACAGCTGGCATCAAAATGCTCGGAGCAGATGCATGCTACGAATAAAAAATTTAATGATATCATCATAGCTTTTTCCTAATATTTCTTAACAAAAGGAAAGGTGTAAAATATTGTATACACAACTTGAAAATATGTACTAACCATTTCTCAAATTAATTTCATCTTCACGGCGACATGCACCTACCCATCGCTTTACAAACTCTTCATTCTTTGGAAATCGAAAGTACCTTATATCAGATCCTTTCGTAACCCTATTATAATTTTTGCAATTAGCTACCGCACAACCCGGCATTCTTGTCGATGTAAAAAAGGAAAACGAAATGCTGGAACAAAATCTTATAACGTCGGTAAGTCGGTATTATCCTAACCTCACTATACTGAACTCTGTAATCGCCATTCATCGATGCTTCGCAGGTGACGTCATGCGCGCCATCGTACGATTTTTGACTCGCTTAGTAGCATACCGGTGTTACGCGTATCGTGACCAAAACAATATAAGCACCGTCAGCCGTCGCCGTCACCGTCGCGCCAATACCGCGATTTGACAGGGTTGCAATTTTGTCGTATTTGTCCTCCAAGGCCAAGGCAACGGATTGCGGCCGGGCGCGAATCGACATCATAAGTATGCAAGTAAACACCTTGCATGTGGACACGAGCCTACAGTTCCTTCGGTTCCTGAGTAACCGGTTAGGGTAAAGACAAACAGAGCTGTTTTGACCGACGCGTTTATCGAATTGGTGCCCAAGTCGTATGCTGTATAATATAATCATTCGTAGTAAAAAATACACACAGCGGTACGATGCGTTTCGTTTCATCTGGCGGTTTGTAGTTGATCTGAGGAATCGAGTCGGTTTGATTCAAGTGGCGCGTTGAGTCTTTCAGCGTCATTAGATTACTCTGTTCACACACGTACGTGCCTAGACTCATTTTGTATAGAAATGGAAGCACACAAAATTGATATTGAAAAGCTAATTAACGAAGTAGAGAACCGACCGCCACTTTGGGATATGAGGAAAAAGGAATACAGCGATAGGGTTATGAGAAGAAAATGTTGGGAGGAACTAGTAAATTTGTTTGCAAAAGAAAACAGCACAATTGACGAAAAGAAGCAGTTAGGTAGGTATAATAATTGTTTATAATAAGAACAAATTAACATTTCTTATTGGCTATCTTTATTATTTAAACGGTTTTTTGTTTTACAAAATATTGAGCGTATTTATCTCTAGCAGATAATGGATTTCCTCTGTGGGTTGTATCTGGTGCTAGACCTTCAAGATTGATATTTTCATCTAACTTCTCGTCATTCGACCGAGTACCATCCCTTGTCCTTATAAAATTATGTAACACACAAGCAGCTTTAACTACAGTTACAGTTACATCAATATCGAGGTCAATAGGTCGATGAAATATACGCCATTTGTTGGCTAGAATACCAAAACAGCATTCGATATATCTTCTGGCTCGGGTTAATCTAGCACTGAAAGTTTCTTTTGAAGGTGTCAGTTGTTTGCCTCCAAAAGGCCTAAGCAAATTTTCGGATAAGGGGAATGCCTCATCGCCAACTATTATGAAAGGATATTTTTCATTCGTTTCGTCAATAGCACATGGTGCAGGGACTCACAATGTACCATCAACTAATCGTTCATAAAGTTTATAATTTGTGAATATGCCAGCATCACTTGATTTACCATATGATCCCACCTCAATATACGTGAAGCAATAATTGGCATCGCACATCGCAAACAGTACCGTAGAATAGTACTGTTTATAATTGTAGTACATAGACTCACCTATTGGGTGGCTGCTTAGTCCGAATATGTTTCCCGTCTATTGCTCTTATACAGTTGGGAAACTGTGCACATGTTTGAAACCCTTTAGCAATTTCTATCCATTTCTCTGTTGAACATTGCGGTATAACTTTGTCTGCTAATTCAATCCATATTGTTTCGCATACTTCTTGGATAATGTTACTAGCAGTAGATCTACCAATATGAAAATTATAATGTAATTCGGCCGTAGCCAAATATCTAAAATGAAAAAATGCAGTTAATTAAAACGTAATGTACGTAATTCTATTTTGTTACAGGTAATGAATTGCATAACACAACATTTCAAGAGATATTCATCAAAGGAAAGGAAAGTCAGGGCTGGAGCTTATCGGAAAGCTCCTTACGTTTATACACAGAGGTTACAATTTCAATTTCTCACAGATGTAATACTGCCCAGACAAACCACCAGTTCATTGGATAATGAATATTCATCCGAATTAGATACAAATAACCCTGAAACGCCCACTTTAATCTATAAAGAAAAGTATAATTTTAAAATTGGCAAAAAAAGGACACACCCGGTCGAAGAAAAAATATTACATTCACTTAAAAATTACGAAAAAAGAGCAAACAAGACGATGACTGGATGACAATTACCACTTTGCACTTTCCTTAGTACTTTCACTTATTGCACTGCCAAGACATTTAAATACAAAATGCAGGATTGAAATAATGCAGACTATTTCGAAATATGCAACCAGGACCGAAGCAAATCAGACATCAGATACTCCACCACCTCCACATCAGCAAACATAACGCATTATCCCAGTCAGTCAGGACTTGTACAACATCCACAAGAGCAGTATGGAGTATCTCAGAATGCCGCCAAACAACAGATAAACTCCACACTACCTCCAGCCGCTTCACCAGCTGAATCAGTTAGAAGCTATTATTCCCACTTTTCGGAAGACGATTCCCCAGTTTAGTATATTTAATATGAATTGAACAAATATACTCTTGTACGTATACTGTATGAAAGATTGTGGAATAAATTTTTAATAAAATGAGAAACAGTTACCTAATTTATTTGCTTACCGGATAGTTATTACTAGTTTTTCTTCTGGTGTTATCGCATTTCTCATACGTGTATCTTTCTTTGCTAGTTTTTCTCCACAAACTGCTAATAACTCGTAAAAAGTACTTCGCGACATCCTAGTAAAGTTGAAAAACTTTTCTTCATCTCTTTGTACTTCAGCAAACAATGTATGAAAATGACGTTTTCGTTGCCTTTCTTCGATGATTGGATGTATCCACATTCTTCTATTTATTTCTTTTCTTTTTACTAATTTTCCAATACAAATACAGTAGCGATAAATACAATACGTCATCCATTCTGCAAATCGAATGGATCACTGCATAAACCGCTGAAGAAACAGCTCAGTGTGGATTACTAGAACGCGGCCGATTCCAGTGTGGATTACTAGAACGCGGCCGATTCGATAAACGCGTCAGTCAAAACAGCTGTTTGTCTTTACCCTAACTTGATGGTAATAAAGCGCGACGCTACGTACCCAAAAAATACCGCGATTATATCGCGGTATTAAAATACCGACCCACCTCTACTTTTTGTTACTGACCTAACCTCTCTGCCTTCTCTGGAATAAAACAAATGTGCGGTCGTTCTAAACGAAGTGTTTACGTTTCGCAACTTATTTTATTAGAAAAGACCTCGTGTATTCAAATGTAAGTCCGGTCGGGCCGCCAGCATGCCTCTGCAAAATACTCAAGTAGAAGAAGCACTTTCTTCCAACGACGAAGTAATAAAAGGAGTGCTATCTCACATCCTTAACCTCAACATACATCAAGAAAGCAATGATAAAACAATAATTAGCTCACTAAATAAGCTTATTTCTACCTCAAAAACTCGCTTACAAGGCTTGGAAATCCTTCATTTGATCATTCATCATTGCACCCCCAGTGTAATAACTGAAAATGCCTTGCACTGGTTGAGCCATTGTATAGTAAAACATCCTGGGGATGATCTCGCTGAAGCCAAACTTGTCACGATAGGCTTGATAGTGAAATATGCTACTACTGACCAGGACTTCACCAAAAAGTTCATCACAGACCATATATCCAAGGTATTAGATATGTGTATCAGTGCCAAATCAAATCCATATGAGATTGCCGCTGCACTTGAAACTCTAACTATATGCATGAAGAACTACCCCGTCTGGTTTACACAGCATAAAGGGAGAATTGAGAAGTATCTTGAGACCTTTTTGGATTGTACAGATAAAGACATGTTAGTAAAAGCTGCTCAATGTTGCCATTACTTACAACAGGTAATATTTTAATCTGTTTAGATATCTACATATTAAAACAGTCTGAGGCTCTGGAAGTGTATATTATTTATTAGAGATTTATTAAGATTTTCAGTGATATTCAAAAATCTGAAATTACCTAATATTCACAAGGCCCAACAAAATGAAAAAATATTTAAACAATATGGCAAAATGAAAATTTTAATGTTTTTAAATTTCCTAAATATTTCTCAGGTATCAACAAAATTTTAGGAGAGGTATTGTTTTTGCAACACTTTATTTTTTAATTAATCATAATTGATTTATCATGTCAGTGATGTTTATTAAATGGTGAAAGAGCTTACATCTTGAAGTGTGCATCCCCTACTTTAAGATGTAAGGTCTTTGACCATTTAAACATTATTGATATGATAATCAATGAAAAAAAAAAAATAACAATACCACCTAAAATTCTTTCGAAATTTGTTAATGGGTGTTTGGAGGATATTTGAAAACTTTGGCAACTTTAAAATTATAATTTTTTCAAATCATTTTTCAGTATTGAATATGGCATATTTTCCAAATTATCAGAAAACTAGAACTTCTATGAAAAAAATACTTTTTTGAAATCAGACCAACAAAAATACTTAAATTCAGTTCTACTTCTCTAGCACCAAAATGGCTATTGGGCTGTCTTATCAGTGGAGATATTAGTCGCAAACTGGAAGTTATGAATTTGCGTAGATCTTGTTACTCACTTTGCCAAATATAAAATTATACCAATTTCATATGAAACTAATGCACATCATGGTAAAATTTAAGTATTTTTCACATGATTATGTGTAATCCAAGTAATTTCTAGGTGGGAAACGCAGGTATAGATGGTATTACCCACAGGATGAATTTTTCAACTACATTCACCAAATTATGTGTGACTGCTCACAAGTTACTTGATGACTTCTTTGAAAATGAATCTGAAATGGAGCACTATAATATACCAGTTGAAGAGCATTTTGAATACCTGGAACTGCATTTAGATAGCCAGAAAGTATTGCAAGTTACAGCAAATCGCATCACAAATTGCTTGCAGTTTTTAAAGACAATGTTGCTGTAAGTAAATTTAAGATTACAATGTTTGTGGTTGTATGCAAACTTTATTTATTTGAAAAATATCTGAATCTGTTTGCCTAGTGAAAGACTGTAAGATTGGAAAGGGTAAAAAGGGTGCCAAAGAAATCTGTAGGTATGTCATTATCAACAGAGAAACTGTCATTGCCACCTTTTTCTCCTAAGTTAATGATGAATCACTCCTGTGATGTGTCATTCTTGATCAGCATTGACTATCCAGGTACTACCATAGAGTGTCTCATATAAGACGGCTTGAGAGCTCTTTTGAGACTTTCAGGTTCTTCATGCAGTACCTGAAAGAGTTACGCTAGACTGTAACTTTTTACAACCCAAATGGCAAGAAAATATCTCAGATATGGCACCTATAAATAGAATGTGCACTTCTTTGAATAAATTTTGCATGGGCTGTGATATTAATTGTGATGCTCTTGATGTAATTTGGGAAAATCTACATCTAGAATGCTGTGGTGGGACGTTGAGATGTGCATTGCAGTGTGATTCTTATTATATTTTGTCTCTATTTTTTTTTGTATTTACTTTATTTATACTTCTTCACTTTCACTTTAATATGTATTATTATATTTTTTTGTATCGAAGCCATATATCTATGAAAACTGACCCTCCTCCATTATAACTACAATAAAACAAAAAAACAGCAGATTGCGAATAACAACAATACCATTTAAAAATTGCCGTTAATTGGCCAACTTTTTCGACAAATTGGCATTGGATCCTGTCACTCTACAGGCTGTCAAAGTCAGGCGTGAGAATGGGTTTTAACAAAAATTCAAACTTCAGTATGACTTTCATGTGGGTTTTTCGCCACCTCAAGGAAAAATCTGGACGAGATAAAATGCTTAATTCCGAGTATTTTAAAACAAACCGTGTTCAAAAGAGTTGATATTTGTAGAAAAGACACGGGATTAATTGAATATAAACCAGTTATTAAATAAAAAATAATTTAAAGCTAAAAATGTCGATAAGGATAAGACTTTTAATAATTTTGGTGTCCATTTCAAGAGGAAAACTTCATATGAATGTATATCCCAAATGTCTCAACTTTTGAGATACAGGGTGGTAAAGTTCTCAATATAGAAAGTCAGTGACAAGCCATTGACTTGAGCGAAAAATTGAAATCTGTAGACATTTATGAGCAGATGTGACCTCTTGAATTTTTTGTGGTCATATTGTGATATTAACGATATTGATATGGTCATGCAGAGAAACAATATTTATTTTTTCATTGAAAACCGTGCATCTGATTGAAAAAATCAAGCAAGCTAATTTGTTTAGAAATGCTTGGTTATTTATTATTTTATGATAGATCAGTGATGTACCATCAATGTCTGCCAAAACAGGCGAGTGAAATTCCGTATGAACAACTGTAGTGGAAATTAAAAAATGTGGTACAAAATGACTCTTAATGCAAATTTCATTGAAATATCTAAACTGGTATTTACAAATATTATTAATAAAATGATTCATTATTGAATACTTTACAACACAGAAGTTAAGATGTTTAGGAAATACAGTGAAAGCTCTCCTTGCGGACAGCTCCTATAAGCGGACATCTCTTTTAACCGGACAAAGTTCCTGGAACCGAATTTCAGCCATCAATTTTCAATGTTAAATGCATTCCGATAAACGGACGCTCTTATAAACGGACGCGGACACTAGATTTTCCTGTATGTGATCAAAAAATCTCCCATAAACGGACGCGAAACTCTAATACCCGGACGATTTTTTAGTTCCGCTTATTGCAATGCACATATCTACATACATAAAATTCGGTAATTCCCCGATTTATAATAGGTGATTCCCCATTTACGCATTTCGTTGGGTAGCCTGTATGTAATCTTGTGGCTTGTGTTCAGTTCAGGCAAATTCGTAGTTGATTGAGTTACGTATTTTATTATTGTAACTGTAAAATGGCACCAAAAAAAAAGGATGCTCTCGTTAAAGGAAAAGATGGAAGTTGTTAACGTATTAGACAGAGAAAGTGTTTCAGTTCGTCATTTGGCAAAGAGGTTTAATATTGGGAAAACGCAAGCAGCTGAAATTGCCAAAAATAAGGAAGATATCAGGAGTAAATGGCAATCAGGAACTAATATAAATCAAAAGAAGGATTTTTTAAAAAAGGAAGGTTTTGCTATAGACAAAACATGTTTTGAGTGGTTTGTGAAAGCTAGAAGTCAGAACATTCCAATCTCAGGGCCGTTAGTGAAAATGAAAGCTAAAGAAATCGCCACTACTTTGGGCTATAATAATTTCAGTGCGTCCGACGGGTGGCTGCAAAAGTGGCGCAAGAGACATAGTGTGAGTTTCAAATGCATATCTGGCGAAGCTGCTGCAGTAGATCAAGTTGATGTGTCACAATTTTTGGAGAAACTTCCGTCCATGTTGCTTGGCTACAAACCAGAAGATGTGTACAACGCAGATGAGAGTGGACTTTTTTTTCGCGCATTGCCCGACAAAACTCTGTCCTTTAAAGGAGAAACATGTGTGAGTGGAAAGTTGTCTAAAGATAGACTAACCATTTTATTCTGTGCAAATATGGCCGGTGAAAAATGCGATTTGATTGTGATCGGGAAAGCGGCTCGTCCCCGTGCTTTAAAAAACGTTGCTATTAAGGATCTACCAGCGACTTGGAAATCCAACAAAAAGGCATGGATGACCCGAGAAATCATGTCTGAGTGGTTAGTCGAATTCGACCGGAAAATGAGAATCCAAAAAAGGCAAGTTCTTTTATTTTTAGACAATGCATGCTCTCATCCTCGTGATATGAAAATGAAAAATGTGAAAATTATATTTTTACCGCCAAACACAACTTCTGTTTGTCAGCCCATGGATCAAGGTGTCATACAGAACTTTAAATTTTATTATCGGCACTTAATTTTAAAACATATTTTAACAAAAATTGACGATGGTCAAAGCTTATCTGAGCTTACAAAGTCTATCAATGTGTTAGAAGCTTTGTATTTTATAAAAACAGCATGGAATAAAGTAAATTCCTCTACAATTAAAAACTGTTTTGGCAAAGCTGGATTCAGAAAAAGTGAATGTAGCTCAGAATTTGCTGAGCAAAATTATTGCGATGCTGAAGACGATCTGCCCTTAGCGACACTTGCTCAGTTACTGCGACATGCCAAACATTTAGGAGTAGCAGATCCCCAGAAAGTAGATGATTTTCTGGCCATAGACAATAACATAACAACAGAAGAAAATGACATTGGCAACTTTTCGAATTTGGATGTAGAAAGCCCAGGCCAACTTGAATATGGTAGTCCAAACGACTCAGAAGAAGAAGTGGAACTGGTGGACTCACTAAGCGGTTCAAAAACGATAAATTCATATGGGGAAGCTCTAAATCATATTTCTATATTGAAAAAATTTGCTAAAGATGATTTCACTGCATTTCAACATTTGAAAAATTTAGAAAGTTATTACGAAAATTGTCTCCTTCAGCAAAAGATGGTGAAATTTCGTCAGACAAACATTTTAAACTTTTTTCAACAAGCTAAAGAATAATGTTTTTTTTTAAATTCTCGTATCATGTATTGAAGCATTTATGTTTTTGTATGCGTATATGTACATATATTATATAGATATATAGCATAAATACATACTTTAAAAATGTGGCGAGTTTCTGTTTCATTTTTCTCATGATTATAATACCTCATTTCCTCATGATTATATACCAGGTTATTTATACTCTATACTTACATACTCTCTTTTAAACGGACACCTCCCATAAGCGGACAAAAGTTACGGAACCGTGAGTGTCCGCTTATGGGAGCTTTCACTGTACATTCATATGAAGCCCTCTTTTCAGAATGAACCCAAAAATTGCCCTCTTAAATATTGACATTCAGTTAGGAAACACCCTTACCGGAGCAGAAATTTTGACCCAGCTGGCGCAAAAAGTTTTAACGTTTTTTTATATAAAAAAATGACTTAATTTGCATAAAAAAATTAAAAATATGTAACAAAAAATGTTTTTTCCGGTTTAAGTGTCCATATTTTAGAAAAAACTGGTGGTCTATTTTTTATACCACCGCGCCAGTTGAATAATATCAAATAAAATAACTTTCAACTCAAAAGTATTTATTTTCCTACCAAGAATACAAAAAAAAATCTCATTGGCATCAAAATTATGACAAAATTTAAGAAATAGAAAATGCCTTAAAAAAAATTAGCAACGTAATGAAAAAACATAAAATTCATTTAGAACTAAGCCGTATGGAAGCTTTGAAAGCAGCTTTTTTGCTTGCCTAAACACAGGGGTACCTTGCAAATTGTGCACATCCAGTCAGTTCGGACTGGTTTAGCTTTGCTACTGCATAATGTGCATCTTCTGGATCCCCGTTCTGGTTGATGTGCTGCTGAATTGAGACGTACATCATTGGCTACATGTGGTTTTGCCTTTTTGATTTGGATTATTGGACTAAATTCCGTTTGTCTTTTCGACGATGAAACTAATGTGGACGCAACCAAACCATGAGTGATTTCTCTCCTGAAATCTTTTGCCGTCAGTTTGTCAGGCAAATCTAATTTTTTATATAAACAATCATGAAGATCCGGAGCAGTCTACCAATAGTCCTTGTAACTAAGCGAATGCTTGATCCCCAAGAGTAAATTGATCCCTGAAAAGGTATTGATTTCATCATAACTTGTTTTTATGTATGACTTCCCTGTAGACATTTGCTCTTGTTCCGCATAAAGGTTAGTCTGAAATACTATAAAGTCTATAAAATCTTCGGTAAAAAAAAAGTCGGAATAAAGAAAAAGCTCTTGGTTTGGAGTTTAAAATGTTATCCAGAATGTCACTGGTTCCACTGAAAGGAAGAGGAAGAGCGGGTATTTCCAATGTATCCCAAACAGGTGGTTGTGATAGGAATTGTTGCTCTTTGATTTTTATTAATCTAGCCTGCAAGGCAGCTAAATTCAGTCATCCGACTCGCTGTATGATTCTACGTCAAGGTTCATTGGTGAATTTTCTCGGGTAAAATCTTCCTGGATGTCCTGCACTGATTCGGATAATGATTCATCCCCAGACGGAATTGATTGCGCATCTATATAACATTCCTCAATTAAATTTGCTAGATCTTTAGTAATTCCTACTAGTCTACATGGCAGCTCTTCGGTCCCAGCCATTTTCTGTAGCAAAATACAAAATATTTTTATTTCGATAATAAGCGGAGCGGTGGTACAAAATATGGACGACACATTAAGCCTATGTTCTTTACTAATCTACCGAAATAAATTAAATAGTGTTTAAGAGTACTTACAGATAACAAGGTATTAAACACTTTTCTTAATGGTTTGTAGCGTATTTAGTTTTATTTCCATTAATACAAGCACAAAATTCAGTACATTAAAACAAACACGTGTACCGGACCCTCCCATTGAACAGTTCTAAGGTATAATGTGGTCCGATTCCACATTACTAGGCTTTTCATAGTTGCCACATGCTGCTACACGTATTTTACGCGGTGGTACAATATTTGAGCCGCAGCGCCAGTCAGTAAAATAGTTTGAAAAGGTGGTCTCTTTTTTATACCGCTACTCCAGTTGGGACAAACATTTGGTGGTTCATTTTTTCGACCACTGCTGCGATAAGAGATTCAATATAATAAGAACTGATAATTTATACTATATTATTTTACTTCTTGATTACAAATTGAAGATGTATGTAATGACATGTTAATAACCTGATTTCAGTAAAATATTTTTCATTTCAGAGAGGGCTATCCAGTAGCTAAAGAAATAAAACCATTAGAATTACTGAATCTAGTGAAAAGAGGATGTGCAATACATAAATGTGCTTCAGCGAATCGAGAAAACTCATTGGATGATTATATTTTTTCTGTATTGCTCACTAATATACAAGTGAAGCTTCTGCAGTTATTGAGAATTTTTATTTTCTGGTAAAAATAAAAAATGTGAAATATTTTAATTATTAAAAATCTTATTTTAGGGGTCAAAGTAACCTGTTTCCTTATTCATTTATGGTGACAAAGGTACTTGTGGATGCTTTCAATAGAAACCAAAGCTGCAATTGTTTCAAACAGAATCAGTAAGATATGTTACAATTTTTATTTTTACTTATATCAAAGCTTTATTATTTATTGTATTTATTTATATCCACTATTGTAATAGTTGTTCAGAAGAATCTAGATGAGTATTTCAGTAAAGTGTATCATTTTTAGACACAACACAGTTAGCCCAAATTTATGTTTTTAGGGTATATCAAGAGACTGTATTCAAAGTATTGAAATACTGGTTTCAAGTTTCAAAATGCAGTGTAAAACCACAGCTCCAGGAACAAATTATAATAGGAATTATAAGTGAAATTGAACCAGCAAAATCTACTATTAGTCTGAGTGTAAGTTTCGTTTACTTATGGCTGTTATACCATGTTTAAGTGTCATTTTTATACTATGCCTGTAATATTAGTATTCAACTATAGTACACATTCATTTTTTAAGTTCTTATTGGTATCAGTCAAATGTTAAAATTTCTTTGCCATTGATGAAGGTTTTGTATACTATTATATAAAGTACCCATCAGCCAATGTTATTTCTTAGATAAACACTGAAATCAATCAAATGAAATCAAAAAAAGCTAGAAGGAAAGCTGTACTGGAAAGTGTATTAGGAAATAATAAAAAGCACAATGTTATGTAAGTAATCTGCAAACATCCTAAAAAAGAGTTGCTTTGAGCTTTGCTACATTTTTTAGAACTCAGGGAGAAAGAGACATTGGGACAAACTCTTGTAATATTGCCTTGGACTTGTTGACACAGATTCTAGAGTCATCTGTACTGAGTGTGAAACCAACTTTGGTTCAGGTAAGATTAACCATTACTTCTATTTTTTTATCGAGTTTATTGTTTCCAAGTTATTTTTCTTATTTTATACAACACACGACTTTCATCGAGATCCAAGCAGTGGGTTAAATAATCTAAGGCAAAGTGAATTATTTGTTTTTTAGGAACTATTTTGCACTGTAGTGGGTACCTTACTTGAACTAAGTTCGGGCAAAGTGACAGACCCATATTCAGACATAGGCTGTCAAATAAAACTTTACAAAGTCTTAGTTGCATTTTATGAGCAAGAATATTTGAAAATCTACCCACCACTGCAACTAACGATGCAGGTACTAAACAAAGGCACCAGTAATAAAAATCGTCATATTGCTCTGATTTGCGAAAGGGGTATCAGTATTTTGGAAAGATTGTGCCAACCAATTTCCCCATCGTTGGATGTAGAAACAATTGATACAGCTGCAACCTCAAGCAGATTTGAGGCTGCTCCTGAACAGAATTTGGATGACGAAAATGTTCAAATAGAGATAGAAAGTTTAGGCAGTGTAAGCAGTGCAATTGAGGCTGTGCATGTAGTGGACACAGAACCACCTGAAGGTAATACTTATTCTATATACATAATCTTAAAATTTCAATTATATGTCCCACGTGCGAAACTGTTTGGGTTCGGAAGTATTTAAGCTCAACCTGTAAATCTGTTTTTTATTTTAGGTATAAAGGTTTTTGTTGAAGAACCAAAAACTGCCGTTTTCGATGACGGTCAAAGTGTAGACATTGAAGTTGCTAGTATAGCTGGTCCTATTGAAGAAACATTCAATGTCATAACAAATGAGTCAGACTTAAACGAGAGCCTTCCTCCTGAAGGTACTGAGAGACTGTCTGGTGTGGAAATAGAAGATTTGAGTGAAGATGCAGAAAGTGAATTAAAAACAGGTATGATTGAAGTTTCAACTTGGGTACCACGTTCATTGAAAAATAAAATAAAATAAATATTACAGATTCTCCTGCGGAAGATGAAGCTAAGGTGAACATTTTGGATGTAACAGTAATCAAAATGAGCCTTTCACAAAATGGAATAGATAATGAACCAATATCCCCCAATACAAATGGTAAGATTTATTTATTTGAGCTCAGTATAAAATGTTTCTTTTTTTGTTTGTTAAATAATCGTCATTATTGACCACATTTTCACTTCCCACGCCTAATGGCGGGGAAGTATTGTAATCGCGAAAATGAGATATCTGTCTGTCAGTCAGATTGTCCGCTAATCTTATAAACAGCCTATAACTTGAGAGGTCGTTTTTGTAGAACAGTCTCTGAGATTATGCAGGGCGCACTGTGGAATCGTGGTGCAGAGAAGTCGAATCGGTAAAATATCTAGGAATTATCCTGGACTGCTAACTGAACTGGAGAGAGCACCTTGAATTCAAGGTTAAGGTTAACATGGCTCGCAATTCATTGTGGGCTTGCAGACGCGTTGTCGGTGTAAGATGGGGTCCAGTGATGGGCGTTTACGCGTATACATTAATTGTCTACGTCTCGATGTATACAATGCATATACAATGTATAAATTTTGTATACAATGTATATATTGCGTATACAATGTATAGAATAGCATAAGTGAGGTTAGGTTTGTCCGCAAACGTCATAAAGTGGGTAAACAGTGAACCGACAACTTGAAAATATGGTTGGACGCTCCAAGAACCAAGAAATCGATGAACTAGGGTTCATTTGTTCTTGGCTCGCAATTCATTGTGGGCTTGCAGACGCGTTGTCGGTGTAAGATGGGGTCCAGTGATGGGCGTTTACGCGTATACATTAATTGTCTACGTCTCGATGTATACAATGCATATACAATGTATATATTGCGTATACAATGTATAGAATAGCATAAGTGAGGTTAGGTTTGTCCGCAAACGTCATAAAGTGGGTAAACAGTGAACCGACAACTTGAAAATATGGTTGGACGCTCCAAGAACCAAGAAATCGATGAACTAGGGTTCATGTGTTCTTAATTTATTTAAAACTGTGTCTTTGTATACGTATATAAATAAAATATATTTTTTCATTATTTATAAACTGCTTCCACAGTCAAACCAAGCAATGTTGCAGAATTTGCATCTATCCTGAACTTTCAGTTCCACCTAAAATCGGAGAACATTTAGGATCGATCAGGAATTGATCCCAAACAGAAACGTGTATTTCAGCGTAGAAAATAAGGCGTTGCAGCAAGTTACAGTTGTGTTGTGACCTTCATCACTCTTGTGCCAGGCAACGTGGTGTGTGGCGCACTCTTTCTACACAAGTGGTGCTCGCTTGTCTCTCTCTCTCTCTCTCTCTTCCTCGTACACATGGAAATCTAAAAGGGAAAGGGAGTTTCGCCAGCACTATATACAAGTAGTTGAACTATGATTTGCTATTGTATACATTATATACATTTTATACGTGAATATCGAGATGCATATATTCACCATTGTATACGCGTATACAATGGTGTATACAATGCGCCCGTTACTGGTGGGAGCTTAAACCCAAAGTGGCTCACTGGCTCTACACGACGATTGTGCGTCCATCTCTCTCAGCGTTTGGTCTGTATCAGCATTACAAGCGCAGTACGGACAACGCCATTGAGTGCAATGGAAGCTGTGCTGGATCTCCCACCGTTGGATCTAGTGATCCCCGGAGAAGCGAGCGTAGTCGCTCACCGACTATGGAGTCAGGGCAGCTTGGCCTTCTTGAATCCTGTCAAGGGTCATACTGCTATCTTAGTCGAACTGCAAAGGGAGGATCCCGTCCTTCTGAGCAAGTTTAATGTGAAGTATCCAACGAGGGAGGAGTGGGACGCCGGTTGCCGGAGGGTCTCCGGAGTGAGTGGGCAAGTCTGGTACACGGACGGCTCGGTCACCGAAGAGGGCTCTGGCGTCGGAGTCTCTGGACCTAGACTATCTCTGCCTCTTGGTGGATACACCACTATTTTCCAGGCGTAAATCTTTGCGATTTTGGCTTGTGCATCCCTCATTTTTCAGGAAGGTGGACCTAGGAAAAGAATAACAATCGTCTTCTGGATTATCTAGCAGCGAAGCATCCGGTATCGTTAGTGTGGGTACCGGGGCACGCTATGATAAAGGGCAATGAGAACGGCGGACGCTCTGGCGAAGACAGGATCAGCCAACAAACTCGTTGGTCCTGAGCCAGATTTAGGGGTGCCCGCGCAATGAGTTAGGAGGAACATTGAGAAGTGGTTTGCAAGACAACAGTCAGAAATGAAGAATCATCTCCAGACATCTCGGTCAAGCACGAGAACTCATTGTAGGGCTCAGCGCTAAGAATCGACGTTTCTGCTTATCTTTGGATAGAGCCAACCTAAGGTTGCTGGTGGGACTGTTGTCTGGCCATAACACGTTAAGGCGCCTCCTGCAAATAATGGGTGTTCCTGAGGATCCCTTGGGTGAGCGCTGCGGGGTAGAGGATGAGACCTCGGCGCACGTTCTGTGTCGCTGTGAGGCTCTTAGCTACTACAGGCACACTATACTGGGGTCCATTACTTTGGACCCCCAGCACGTTAAGTAGCGTGAACCCAAGGCCATACTGAACTTCACTAGAATGACGAGGCTTGAGGTCTAGGGAATGTAAGGGTGCACAAGGGCCCGTCTAAGTGGCCTATACGCTGGCTCCTTATGGTGGCCGGTATGCCTCTAATTTCATGTTTCATTCATTCATTCATAACTTGAGAAGTACCGTTCGGATTTCGATGAAATTTTTGCATAATGTTACTGCTATGCCAAGGATGCAAAAGCTTTGTAGTTTGTGAAAATCTGCCCAGTGGCCGCGGGGAAAAATACCAAAAATATGATAAAAATCGCTTGAACTTGAAGAAATGGACGTTACAGGTTGCAGGGGGTGGGGCACGGTATATCTCAATTATTTGACGTTGGTATATTTATACGCCTCCAATCCCAGTAATTCTGCTCACATATTAGGTATATTTTAGCCTTAAAACTTAGAAGTATCTCCTACAGTCGGGTGTTGATACGTGCGACGTGGTCCCCCGATGGACAAGTGTTGTCGTCGATGCTCGTACGTCACAGTAGGCAATCGCTTCAGCACTGCTATGTGCAACATCGTCATTCACGCGAAATTGGTCATCGCAACGATCATGTGCGCCTGCAGCGATTCCTCCTCTCAGGGAGAAGAAGGTCATTCAATTTCTTGTTATACATGCTCGTAGCTAATTTTTTTCTCTAACTTGTGCCAAACATAATCCTTTACGGACTGATGACGGCGTAGCTTGGGAAGTACAGAGGCAACGCCATTTTTTAATGAATTGTCTGCTTGCAAAAGGAATTCTGGAGACTCGCGGGGCTCTAAACGCGTTCTGGTCCAAATATAATTAAAACCCCCGAACCATACAAAGACAATGGACGATTGACACATTCCTGGGAGTTCTTGTCGCCTTTCCTGGACGAGCTCCTCTCTTTCCACTGCTTCTTCTTGGATCATCACACTTATTTTGGCGATATATTAGAGTTCTAGATCGAATGAATAGGTTTAACAAAGATTTTAGTAGATTTCGAAACGAAGTTGAAAACAGATACTTACTCCTCTCGACTTTTTCTTCTTGTACGCGTGACTAGCTTGTATGCGCTAGTTCCAAAAGATTTGAACTTGGATGGCTTTTTGAATACAAATGAGTACACGAAATAGATTTTAGAACGCGCATGAACAAGCTGAAACAATAAGTAAAATATTTTCCATTATTTCAACATGTTCTCGCATATATTTTAGTGGCCCGCCATGTTTGCTAATTTTTTTACTGTTGGAAATAGTGAATCTTTCACATTCAGATTTTTTTCACCAACTATTGATTGAAATTAATTTAATTCTTAGCTAACTTGGATGGCCATTAGAGGCTATATGTATTGATTCATTCTGATTGTATATCAAAACTGTAGTAATTACTGTGTACAAAATATCTCGCCCTTAAGCGCCAACGTCGATAGGAAAAAATATCCTGTTGTTGATGGAGATGCCCCTCTGTCACTTGACGATATCAGGTATTTTGAATGTGAGGTTTTGTGGTATTGAAGTATTGCGTAAAATAGTGTATACGTAGATGTGAGATTTTTTCAAATTTTGGTGTAGAAATTGAACTAGAACATTGTACTTCATCATGTCTCTTATTTATAGATGTACAACAGAATGGAAACACGACAGACACTGCTGAAGGTGACATAGAAATGAACAGAAAGCATCAATCGAACGACTGCGAGGTAGAAAATGATGAGAGCGAAACGCCTAAAAAGAAAATGAAACTTGTTGATAAAGCTGATCTAAGTGTAAAACTAGAAGATTTCCAGGATGAGGTTTTAGAAGGTGATGGCGGTTTTGTGGATGAAGTACGTGAATATTAACCATAGATTTCAGCGTAATTTGTTTTATGTAATACCTCTTTTTTCCAATAAACTGACAAAGAACAAAAAAAGAAATATAAGCTTCTTATTATATCGGTTATGTAACCGTTTTGAAATTACACCTGTGAACAAAATTTTATAACAAACACAAATGTGCCTACTGGCTCTTCTTGGTAGCTTCTAGTTGTATTTCCCTTTTCCATCCACCCACCCGTATCCAGATATGATGGACATACGCTTTCACTTCGGTGTTTTCATTGCACATCCATTTGGGCCTGATGAAGCCAATAAGCTGAAACGTACGACGTTCGTATTACCAATGCTTTTATTTATACTCATGTTCCTTTATTGCGTACATGCCCACGATCGACCTTTGTTTTTCATCTAAGTTTCCGCAAAACATCTTGTCTTTGTAGTCTACTTTGTTTTTTGAACCGTTGTTACTTCCTACGCCACTGGAGGAAGTATTGTAATCGCGAAAATTTAAAAAAATGATTTATTGTGGTTTTTGTATGTTAGTGTATCAATACACTTTCAATCCCGGTAATTCTACGCACCTATTTGACATATTTCACACATCATAGATTTTCCCGTATTATTATCCATAAAAATGTTTTCTCGTTTTAAAACGGAACAAAGTGAACGTTTTTACGGAATAGAAATAGATTGTTCTCGACACATTACTACCGCGCAGCTATCCAGTATTCGAGGGGCATTTGCACATATAGCGAGTGTAATCTAGTAGTAACGTATGTGCTAAAAGCTTTGGCACAAAATATTTATCAATTTTTTTTTAATGAAAAAATTTGAACACTAACTAGTTATTATGAATTAAAATTCAATACCAGACGCAACTTTCTTAGAATGTCTCTCATGAGGTTCTGGACGGAATTCAGATCAATTTCTCTCAGTTTTTCGTAAATTCGCCGTCTTAATTGTTCTTCGTCTTGGGCTTCCCAGCCTCTATGATAAACCTTCCTAGACAGTAAAGCCCAAACATCCTCTATTCGGTGAGCCTGCGACAAGTTTGGAGGATTATCGTTTTTGAGAACAAAAGGTATGTTGTCGAAGCCAGTTTTGGGTTTATCTTTAGTAATCGCATGATGCTAGGTCTGGCCAAAACATGATATGGTCATTAGCATCATGTTCGTGGACAAACTGAAGCAATTTGGAAAGACAGTTATCATTATAGCTCTGAATATTCAAAGCTTCACCCCTCACTCTTCCCACAAAAGGTTGGGATACACCCGTTGGAAATTTCGCACCAGAACATTGACATGGCATCCCTCTACGTTGTCCGTATAAAATCCGTCGTTTCCCTTCATTTCATAATGACTCAAAGTGAAATACATCATCACACTCTTAGAAGATCTGTATTGACGAGCCAGTCTTCTTGTTGCCATGCCAACCTGATTTTTTGCTCTTCTCACCAATCTCTCTGACTTCTGAGCAGTAAATGGTGTGGTCTTCAACTTTTTGGGAGATTCAGACATGCTCGCACTCCGCTATTGTTCGATAAATGGTTCTGCATGAATTTCGTGCCAAGTAAGTTCAGTGATTCAAATCCCAAAACTTCCGCATTTTTTTCTGTCACAAACAAGCTCATAGGACTTCAAAATTAACTTTATTTTTCTATACTCTACAGTATAAGGCTCAACGAACTCCCCCTGCAATTTTTCCGAAGTAGGTTTTTCCACTCCCGGTGTTGGATTTTTCCGATATGCGGTATCGTTGCAAACTAAAACACCCCTAGCAGCCGCTCCTAGCAGAGCAGTAGGATCCCCCAACTCCTCGCTTCCTGATGAGAAACTTCCATCTTTTGCTCGAGGTGATCCTGCAACTCTATAAGGGGTGATGATCCTTGGGACATTATCTCCACGTTGAAAGAGGCACCTTCAACTCCCGTGGCTGGGGAGTTTACTCTCTTTAGAAATTGAACTCCCGGGCAGATACAATAGGTTGCGCCCTTCTCTCCCACATTTCATTACCCTTCTGGTCGCATACTTTTCATCAGAGCTCTAATGCTTGAGTGCAATGCTCAGCTTCATGACGGTAAATTGCTCCCCGATGGCTTCCAAGACTCATTCTGGGTAGACCGATATCCTATCGAGTACAACAGGGAGTTGGCAGAAAGGATTCGGAAGCAGAAGTTTTCATCAGGCTTGCCAACATGCCAATCTGTTTCCACTCCGGAAGTACTCCTTGCAAGATATGGTGGCGGCAATAGGGCTGATCAAACATCAAACCCGTCATCGTAGAGACAATCCTATCTACAGGGAGTACCTCGCACTAGCTAAAGAAGAGGTTCGCAGCCGACAAAGGCCACCATTAGAAGTTCAGCCCCACGCGATCTATGGACTGTGGACTAAGGAAGCTTCGTGCCATTATTGGCAATAGAATCTTTGCGCAAAGGCGGTACATCACCACCACTGAAACAGGGCCGCCTGTGCACTTAACTCACTCGCATGTTGGCTGGAGTATAAAGATGGGCTCCACAACAACAAGCATCAGATGCCAACCACGAGAAAGGTTCATCTACTTCCACCGTCATGCGCAATAGGTTGGGCAATCTTTTATCAGACTCATTTTAAACGGAATCATTCCATCTGGAACATACATTGGACAGACATGACTTGCTGAACTCAAGACGTCTTGAGGACTTACTGCAAGAGAGCCTGCGAGAATTCCATCCACCTATTCCTGGTCTTTGAAACTTAGTATGAGATAAATGTATTCGTTACCGGTCTCCTTCTGCTATCTGAGCTGAGTATCCGGCATAACGGTCTGCTCGATTATTTTGCGGCGGTGGTCCTACCGCGTCTGATGATATGGGAAGGGGCAACGTTGTCAGGTGGACGGTAACTACCGCAAGGACAGGGAAATGTCTTTAGGTTAATTGTATGGGTCTCTTTGACTGGCGCAAACGATATTTGGGGCTGGTCTTTTTTTAACCTCAGTGGAACTTCTAGAATTCCTATTATTGCTCCTTAAATCCATTGTGTTCTATCGGGACAAGGCCAGCCTGACAAAAAAAAGCATGGAAAATACTCAGAAATCCTCAGTAAGGCAATATTTTATTATATGAGAACAAAATAAGTACGTGGCATTTATAATTAACTAGTGTAATAACATTAAAGATTCAAACAAAAAAAAAAAACAGTATGAGGGACCCCGAGACATATCCCAGTCCATTCCACACAAAACAATGTCGTTGATGGCGAAAACGAACATGAAACCGAAAAATTCACATTATCGTATGGACGCTAGACGAGACAAAGAAGGATGTCTATAGACCATCTATAGCTCGTGCCTTGAAACCGTCTCCAGACTGCCTCCGGACAAGTTGCGCAACGGGGTCTACTAGTGTGTACTAAATTTAAGGATTAAGACTCTGAACTGCCATTAAACAAATCAAGTAAATGGTGCAAATACTTAACACAATCAACATCAACATAGTTGTTGTTTTCTCAGTTTTCAAATCGGTGTTGATCGCATGTAAAAATGTTGGAAATCTTTGGAAAAAACTATATCTGTTAGATCGTAATTATTTTGATAATGTATGTTTGTAAGAAACAAGTACATGAATACAGGGCTGTACATATTCACGTGTAGTGCAGAAGCTCTGTGATTTAAACAAATTCAATATAGCAACATAAATAAACAAATACGCGAGACGCGTGGTATTGACTTTGAGCATCGATTGACGCAGTTTCTGGACAGGCCACAGGCGCACAGCTAAACAAATCTCATAAATGTCTATTTCCAATTTAGGCATTCATCTAACATACGAGTAGTGCTTCTCTGCAACACGAACCCCTAACAAAATCAGTCAAGCTTCACAAACTTTTCAGATTACTATCGAGCAACAAACAGAACATAAATCACTTTTTAAGTGCAAATTATATAGCTAATATTTTAGTCAGATTTGTCACAACTCACAATACTCGTACAGGGTGAAAAGTTAGTAGTCGGAAGTCAGGTGATAGAAGGCCTCAAAACCTATCGAATGAACCCCTATATGAGTGGTCCGAAATTTTATAGTTCAGGAGATATTTGCAATTTTGTTTTTTTCAATCGCAATTACAACTAAACCATTGGGTTTAGAGCTGTGATTTTTGTTGAAATGAGCTAAATGGTTAGATTTAGCAATAGTTATGCGACTTTTTAACAGAGCTAATTAGAAATCAACACAAAAAATCTTAAATTCGTTTTTTTGTGAAAAATCTTTTTCATCCCTCAACTTTGGAGGGCGGTAAAAAAATTGAGCTGTTTCATTATTCATTTTATTGTAAAAACTATTTCAATCCATGTAGAATAAAGCCTGAAAATTTCAGCTTAAACAATTTGTATGTTTGATGCAGATGGGTATCTTTACATGTAAACAAGAAATTCTATTTTACGAGCTATAGTCCAAGCGAGTTCATGGATTTTGACATATGAGGTACTGTTAGATTCGTCCTAGCAGTGCGAGTGATACTGTTTATTAACATTTTGTAAAATCAAAATGGCAGATTTTTTACGCATATAGCCAAATCAGCTTACTAAGTCAGGCAATGGTCCAGCGCGGAATTTATATCGTTATAACGTTTGGCATCTGGGTAGAATCATGTCATATTATTCGCGAGATTATGCAGAAATGCATTACTATTATGGTGCTGCCCTAGGAAATGCTCGAGCAGCTGCTCGCATGTATCGGGAGTATGTGGTTAGAAGAAGTGGACCACAACCGGCGGTATATTCCGACTACCGTGTTTTTCTACGCGTCCATAATGCTTATATGGAGGACCGCATACTAGGCACTCATCGTCAGCTAGGAGCGCCGAGGATATGCCCAGAAGAAATAGAAGACATGATAGAAGCAGCCGAGAGAGATCCCTCTATAAGCACCAGAGCCATTGCCCGAAGCAGAAACATATCACATACTTCAGTGCACTACGCTCGGAGAACATGCATCCTTACCATGTACAAAAAGTACAAGAATTGCTTCCAAGCGACTATGCACAACGGGTTGAATTTTGTGAGAATATGTTGAGAACGTGCGAAGAGGAAAAAACTTTTTTCGACAGCATCTTATGAACAGA